GAACCCTGAGATCTGGGCGCAATCGCGCCTGCAAACAAACACGTCAATCGCCGGTCTCAAGCGAACAAAAGAACAATCCTGCAAACAAACTATCATAGAGGAACTATTCCTCTACCTGTTTGTGTTATAAGTTTTAACAGACCGAGCCCCAATTCGCGAGAAACCAGCAAATGACGTGCCTATCTACAAAAGCAACTTCGCTCCAACCTCGAAACTCTCCGGAAATATGTGATAAATCATGTAAATGTAAATGGAATACAGTAATGAGAAAAATTTAGATTTATGGGTATGTGAAATTATTGAAAGAAAAAAGTCTGAAGCGCGGAACAAAATCGGGTCATTACTGTAATTAAAATAAATAAATTCATGCTTACCTTTTTATGGCTGTTTGATTATTAATTGCTATTATTACCTGCTTAGAGTTGGCTCCTTTAAAATACTGTGTAGAATTTACCTCATTAAAGGGTGATACGGTCAAAATTTGGTCAATTTCAACTTGACGTATTTCTTTCAATTTTGCATTTAAAAAACCTGAACACCCCTCATTTTGAAGGTGTGTGTGTGTAGAATGTTGCTCCTATTTTGATTTTGGAATTCACTCTTCAGTTATCAAAATGCCGTCCAAGCAAGAAGAGCAGCGTATCAAAATTTTGCTCGCGCATCGCGAAAATCCGAGCTACTCGCACGCAAAGTTGGCAAAATCGCTAAAAGTTGCCAAATCAACCGTTACAAATGTAATTAAAGTGTTTGGGGAACGTTTGTCGACAGCCAGGAAGTCTGGATCGGGGGGAAATCGAAAACCGGAAGCCGCTGAGACGACAAAGAGAGTTGCCGGTAGTTTCAAGCGAAACCCTAACCTCTCTCTCCGAGATGCCGCAAATAAGCTGGGTGTATCGTCTACAACCGTGCATCGAGCCAAAAAACGAGCCGGACTATCGACTTACAAGAAGGTAGTGACTCCAAATCGCGATGATAAACAAAATACGACGGCCAAAGCGCGATCCCGGAGGCTGTACACGACGATGCTGACGAAGTTTGACTGCGTGGTAATGGACGACGAAACCTACGTCAAAGCCGACTACAAGCAGCTTCCGGGACAGGAGTTTTATACGGCAAAAGGAAGGGGAAAGGTAGCAGATGTTTTCAAGCACATGAAACTGTCAAAGTTCGCAAAGAAATATCTAGTTTGGCAAGCCTGTGGCTTGAAAAGCAGCATTTTCATAGCTTCCGGGACTGTCAACCAAGAAATTTACGTGAAAGAGTGTTTGAATAAACATCTGCTGCCTTTCCTGAAGAAACACGGTTGTTCCGTACTGTTTTGGCCGGATTTGGCATCTTGCCATTACGGTAAAAAGGCCATGGAGTGGTACGCCGCCAACAACGTGCAGGTGGTTCCCAAGGACAAGAACCCTCCCAACACGCCAGAGCTCCGCCCAATTGAGAAATACTGGGCTATTGTCAAGCGGAACCTAAAGAAGACCAAAAAAACTGCTAAGGGTGAGCAGCAGTTCAAGGCAAACTGGCTTTCTGCGGCGAAGAAGGTGGACAAGGTGGCTGTACAAAATCTGATGGCAGGGGTCAAGCATAAGGCCCGGCAATTCGGATTTGGAAAAGCGGAAGCCTAACTGAATATTTTTCCTGAATTTTATGCTAATTGAACTTGAAAAAGAAATTTAATTTGATTTTTTAAATAAACGATTTCACCGATTTACACGCGTTTTCCCTTGACCAAATTTTGACCGTATCACCCTTTATTCCTCAGCTCCATCGATTTCCGTTCCTGCGTGGTTTTTGTGATATAACCACGCTCGGCATATTATCCTGTAGTACGACTTGGGCGTGCACCATGCAAGTAACTCATTTCTCGTCAAGATGATGGGATATGGGGTGATGGTGAAGGGGTATAGAAAACGAAAAAAAGAACAGAGAGAAAGGTATTAGTATTGGTTACATTAAGTTAGTTTCCCAGCTGATTTTTTAAATTATATAGGGTATATCTAGATAGAGCTGGATTTAGTGTGTAACAGCTTTTGTAAACAATGACTTTTCTTGTTGATTTCTAACAACTCATGGCACGCCTACACAAATCAACATATCCATCGGGTAGGAGAAGTCTTCCCCTATTCGATGGTAATGTTGATTTGCCAGGGAGAGTCATGTCTTTCGAGAATTCATCGAGAGAAGCCATTGTTTACAAAAACTGTTACGCCATAATTCCAGCTCTATCTAGGTAGATATGCTTCAACTATGCTCACACGCTTTCACTATGTCGCACCACAAAAATACGTATGGGTATGTCACAATAGAAGCACGCCACAGTGGAAATCCCGAGCCATAATTCAAACACTTATCCCAAATCAAAATGAAGCACATATAAGATTAGTTACAATACCATGTACAAAAATGGTGTTTAACATTGTTCCCTGAGTAATACTTCAATGAAAACAACAATGCAAGCTTGTCACGCAAATTGAAGGAACACTGTTGGGCACTTTGAAGTTGCCTTCCTGGTACAGTGCTATCGAGGTACATAGAATTTCGTCTGTTGAGACTTTAGAACAAATGTCCAACAAAATAATTAATAATTTTGGGCAAAAATCGTTGCAATCCTCAACTGCAACAATTAATTCCATTTATAAATATATATACTTAGATAAGATTTAGTTTTAGTTTTTTTTTTAAGATGTCAATTGTTATACTGACATGCAGGTTAAAAAAAAACCTGTTTAAAATACAGAATTGCCAAGGCAGGAAAAATGTAAAACCACTGATCTATATCATAACAATTAAGGCTGGTAAGTTACTGTAGGAACTGGAACACCTAGGTTAAAATGAAATGTAATTTATTTTGAATTTAAAACAAATAAAGAGTTGAAAAAAAACTTTCTGTAATATTTCAATAGTATAATTTATAATTCCCTTGCAAACCCAAATAAATCTATCTGCGTAAAAATAAATAAAATAAGAGTATTTGCGTAAAAAAAACCTCGCCAGTATCACACCCAACGTCAGTGTCTATACGTAAGCGTACTACAACGCGGCTCTCAAACAAAGGAATAACAAGTGTGATACTATCACTGCTAGACTAGATCTTTGGCTCTCTCATGCAGTGGTTCATCAGAGACGGGAAGCTTAGAAATCCCCATCGCATGCCCATGCCACCATTCTATCGCGGCACGAGTCTGCAACGCCGGCCATAAACCTACCGTCTCAAATACTCCACTATAAAGCATGAAATTAAGCCCGCCCACCAGCAACAAGGTTCAAAAACTAGCCAAGGGGAGGGAAGGATCCCATTTGATCTCAAACATTAGTTTTAACATAATTCTTCATCCCGCACTTTTTGTGCACCTGCACTTTTTTTTTTGTAAACATACCACCGATCAAGGGTTTAAGAAAAATTGCGAATGAATTTAGATGGTGAAGGTAAATAGATCAAATATCGGGTAGTAAAAGACTGTCCATAGAAATTGACTGAGGTATCTTAGACATGACAAAAATTGCGATTCAGCTTAAAAAATATCGAGACACGAACCTGTAAAATTGTTCATGATCTCGTAGTTTGAAATGAATTAAAAATTATAGTGCATTTTTTTTTCTCGGGTCTCGAACAAGGAAAGTTCTGTAAAATCTTAGACATAGACAAATCTCTATAGTATTCGACTGAATCAGTAAATTTTGTGATTTCCAGATTATTATAGGCTCAACAATCTTATAAAATACCAAACGAGGTTCGATTCACTCGCTTCGACGCTTTCGCTTCATGATGATGATGATGATAGTTGTCTACCACTCATTGTAGCACAGAAACTACTCAACCACTCATTGTAGCACAGAAACCTCTCCTCACTGTTGACCTTGATCAAGCTTAATAACCTCTGATTGTCATCAGCAAATCTATGTATGAGGAGCCAAAAAACGGATGGATGGACAGCTCAATTGGTTCCCGAGATTCTATCCGCTAGACTATAAATATAGCGACTGTAGAGTTCTTCCGCAGCTGTCAAAGTTCCTGGCAATTATTTTAAGCCTTGTTTATTTCACAGCTGCGGTGGAACTTCTTGGTCTTCTTGAAATTAATCCTTAAAATGAAAAAAAAAACTTTGGAAGAGCAATATGATCTCAGATTAACAAACAGCAACAAAATTTTACGACTATGCAAAAGTTTATCATTTAGTCTTACATTTTCATGATTCTGGGATTTAGAGAAAAAGAATGTCCGAGATCATAGAATAGTTTTGAAAATTCTTTTTTGAGAGTCAAGATTTAAAGAAAAATACAAGTTTGTGGACTTTAAGAATGTTGCACCATAAAAATAGAGTCGTTAAAAAAAACAAACAAAAATATAAACAGATTCAACCACTCCAATAAACTTACTCATGGCTGTAAGCGTGTGCAGAAATAAAATAGTGATTTAGTGACCAAATAGTAACTAAAAACTGACTTATAGTCAACCGGAAAGTGATCAAAACAGCAAAAAAGAGACTCAATCATCAAAACTGAATGCAACATTCCAAAACCAAAAATGGCAAGAGTTTTGGTAGACACACGCCTTCGAAAATCAACCAATTTAAGTTGACTACTTTTTGAACGTTGAACCTTTAAGTAGTGCTGATTTTGATTTTGTTAAGCAAATTTCCTGTGAAAATAGTTTCCAGTGTGGTACTAGTTTAGTGTAAATTTTAGATTAGCTGTTTTATCATAACAATTATCTTAACACAATTTCTTTCTTGTTATACTTATTTAAAAAAGATTAGTGAAATCTGTAAATCAGAACACACATTTTGTAGCCCTTATTCTAATCCAGTGAAGAAATTATTAATTTTCTTTTAAATAATGACAATTCCTAATATTAAAGTTGTTTTTCATAATATCCATGACAATCGACACACATAACAGTAAAAATTATTAACCTATTTAATAGAAGTGACTCATTATGGGATAATTCAGCCAAACCTAATCAATGCCTTATTTTGAATCTAAAATAACATCCAACTCACCTCATGCTTCGTCCAACGCGTCTTGGTCGATTTGTCCCCTTGCGAATGTTCAGAAAGATCATCGTCCGATGTGTCCATTTTGGTGTTTCTGCTGCTACCTTCTTAAAGTTTACTTCCAGCTGGCGCAGGATCTTCTATCAAGTTCCTTCCGCGCGCGCGCACACCCCTACCCTTCTTCCCTCCGATCTATCACTTTACACTTTTCTGTTTCTTCTCCTTTTTCGTCCTTCGATGCTTCCTGCTATATTCTACTACGCACTTTATTCCGGTATCCTCACGCAGACTCGGATAGCTCTGGCGGCCCGGACCACTCTTTATTCACTATTCACTCTCTTCCCCGTAGTGCTCCGCTACTCTGGGGTTCGCCACCACTTCAGCAGCAATCATCATCATTCATGACACGGTGCTTCTTCGATTTAACTCATCCCCGCGTGCGCTTCCTGCCTCTCTGTTAAAAAAGTAACACATGTACCTTAACGCTAGGGATGGTCCCTTCTTTCCCAATAGCAAAAGCTATCGTAGAATACAAGAACATTAGTTAGCCCCGTCAAGAAATGCAAGCATCCCTAGCTTTCTTCACACCATACGCACATATGGATGTGTGTTCAATGTTTAATTATTGCCCTTCCACGGCAGATGTTTTGTTTTCGTTCTCCTGTGCACCGCGTGCGGAGTTTGTCCTCGATCTCCCATAGGTACACCACTTCTACGGGGCGCTTTTAGGCTGATCCTTTCTCACTCACACTCGCACTGTAGCACCTCGCGGCTCTTATATACCTTCTTGCTCGCACGACCCGAGGAAGAACTACCACTTTATTCCCGACCGACCGACATACATAATATTATTATTCCGGAGCTCTTTCTATGCGAGGGTCATAGGCACTGAATCGTCCCCTTATTTTTTCGCTTGCCCTTATACACAACAAGCTCGCGCTAACACACGGGAAGGGAACGCGAAAAAAAAAAAGGGTGCCACTATTTACTTCCTCCCGTTACTCTTTGTCTGGTGTGCCTTTGGTGGATTATTTTGGCACTGCAAGTGGATCCTACGAATATTTTACAATATTACGGACTTATAATCTTTCAATATTTCCTAGCGAATGTAAACAATGAACACACGCACTATTATTTTACTGTGAAGCGTTTCAAAAGGTAAGCACTCCGTAAACACCAACACTCGGACAATCTTCCAGCCCAATGTACTCTCCCTGCTGCAGCACCACACGCAATATTTTCCACTGCGGGAGGAAGCACTCCGTTTCACTTCAGATTCCGTTCTGAAACCTTGAAATTTACCTCTCCCGTATAGTACGGATACTAAACTATGAAATAACACTACTATATAACACTTTAGGTACTTTTCTGCACTAATCCTAGGTAGTCATACTGGAGAAATTCTAATTCATAAGAGTAAAACAGCAGCAAACTTCTGTTCTGGATGGCTGCGGAGGAACGATCGTTTGTCGGCTGCTTGTCTTTTTCAATTTTGACACTTACCGAAAGCGTCGCCGTCGCGTTCGAAAAAGCCTTTTCGATGACAATGAGCAAGGAAAAAAGGCGCGAGGTTCCGATGGAAAAAATATGGCGTTACGAGGAAATTTGAAAAGGGTAAGCCAAGGTGAGTATATATAAAACCTGCATACAAATCCGAGTTCATATCTCATTTTACGGAATTCTATTGATGAATAAATTTAGCAGCAAATGAATTAAAATGAATGAACTAAATTAATGCAAATCATTGCCGATGCCTGCGTCGTGACCTTTAGCGTGAATTAATATGATGGTTTGGATTTTCGCGCAGGATTCTAAGCAAACATTATGCAGCTCATCCAATCAGAATTGGTATTAAAAGTTAATTATTCATGAATATTTAGTGTTCAGGATTAATAAACATTGCCCGCAGGAAGACTTCTCCTTCCCGTTGGTTATATTGGTTGGCGTGGACGTGCCTTGAGTTTCGAGAAATCATCGAGAGAAGTCATTGTTTACAAAAGCTGTTACGCTCTAATTCCAGCTTAATCAAGACATGTGCACCCAATTGGCGTTGACGGTGACTCTGTAGCTCTTTACTCCTATGAGAAAATCCATAAGCAAACGTCAGACTGTGCGTGAAACATGGCCGAAAATTCTCATAAGAAACTATCTATATTTGCTGGAAGAGAAATTTTTTCGACTGTGCCGTCAACGCCAATTGACCACTTTGTCAAGCAGTTTTTGCGTGACTTTCTACCAGCGATTTCACAAAACTGGACAAACCAATTTCTATTTTTTTATGAAACGCACAAATGTTGGCTACTTTTCTCGTGGTTCTAGAAGAAAAAATCTCAAAATAATGTTTTATTTCAAAGTTCGAGTGGTAGTAAACGTCATTTTAAGTGCTTGAATGAAGTGGTTAATTCTTTTTTATTTTTGCCTGGGGGATGGACCATACAAAAAAACCGAGGGAGAAGACATTGTAATCTCTACTAAATATGCTTCCAAATTATTATAGGAAAGATTAGGTGGGATTAAAAAGGTTAGTGATATTTATTATGTTATCTGTCAGAAAGCACGATGAGTGACTATTTACTTCAACGTTTATTTATATATGAGCAAAAAAGGCAAAAAATCACGTTGATACAACGAAAACTTCAAACGTTCCAGACTGATTTGCAGACAATTTTAAGGAGTTTGCTGGCACTCCCAAGGTTACCGACGATTTTGTTGAAGATTTCCGATACTATACCAGGTACTATACCCATTTTTATTGCCATTAAACAAATCACAGATTTAATTGTACGATTGTATCTAGCAAGCATTTTATCCAAAAGCAAATGGAAAAGTATTGCCAAAATTCTAGTACTACACAATGTTTGTTTTGATTCGCTATGAAAGTTTGACAGATAAAATGAGGGGTTAGTGGAATTTCAACCACCAGCGCCGGCATCTTAACCCCTTCATTCGAGCAGTTAAAATGACGTTTACTACCACTTGAACTTTGAAATTAAACATTATTTTGAGATTTTTTCTTCTAGAACCACGAGAAAAGTAGCCAATATTTGTGCGTTTAATAAAAAAATAGAAATTAGTTGGTCCAGTTTTGTGAAATCACTGGTAGAAAGTCACGCAAAAAATGCTTGACAAAGTGTTCAATTGCAATGTGACGCCGTCCCCCGCCCCCACTTAAAAAAAACGTGTTGTTTTATGAAAGTGCCTAACAATCCTCATAAAAACCATGCTAAAAACCAGTGTATTTTGTATCCTCCAGGCTCGTTACCGTTTGGCATCTTGTCATGATAGTGATATTTTTTGATGACAATATTAATATTCATTCAAGAGTCAGCAAAAATTATTGGCTTTACTGAAGATACAGCTAATTGCTAGGGGCATCCCACTCTAAACTTTCTATTTTCCCTCATATACAAATAAAGTTCTAAGTGATATCTAAGATACCTGAAAATACCTAAAAATACTTAAGAAATATCTAGCGTTAGTTTTTTTGGTGGGTTGCTATACCGATTTAATTTGTTTGTTTATCCAAGGTCAGAAGGCTTGTGTGGAAATTGGCGAATTTGTTATGGAATTAGCATTAATTTTATTGAGAGAGTGAGCAGAGCAGCTGTATGTCACGAACTGTTTCCGGTGTAATCTGTTCGATTGGAACCAAAAAGAGTTCATTTTGATCTGAAAGACATGGGGACCTTTTGCTGGTTGCTCGTTCGGTTTGATTTCTATCATTTGTATTCCTTATCTCCATGTGAGTATTGTATTATAATAGGGGATATATTTGTACTTTCCGTCCGCTAGGTTCTTGCCCGTCAAACGATAGCTACGGGGAATAGCCTAAGCAAAATTGGAAGTGGTAAAACCTTTCACACCATACTATGGTGCGGACCCGGATCTCGTAGCTTCTCACCTTTTAAATGTAGAACATGTTTATTACAGTAGATAAAAAATCTTCAAGGCTGCATAGCTGGATACCATCGAAGCAAGATATCTTCCTTCTTAGAACCAAAGGTGGAGCGTGTTTGAAACATTTTTAGTTTTCAGCACAGCTCTCTTTTTAACTTTCCAGGAGGATATGGTTTATATTCTATATCGATTTTGAATTCTATACTCTCGTTGCATTAACTAATAGTTGGAGTATAATGGTCCAACGATAACATGAAACAATTATGGGATTGATTAAAATAGTCGGATTTAACTTTAAAGATTTCCTATGTAGAATAGAAACAAGCAATATAATGTTTAACTGTAATAGGTATTAGAATTTTAATAGAACATATTCGTTAATTCCCGAATAGAAATTGTAATGTAGGAAACATCAGCAGACATCTTCAATACATTAAATTTTAATGTGTATTGCTGTACCCTTAATGTATTCAGACTTCAGTGTGACATCCAAGTACATAAAAATACATTAGCCTCAAACGTTACATCAGAATCAAACGTCTTGACGATGTAAAATTTGACATCAGAATACATCCAATGACAACAGAACCAAACGTTACATTAGAATCAAACTTCATCACGATGTAATTTGTTGCACGCATAAAACATCAGAATACATCCAATGACAACAGAACCTAACGTTACATTAGAATCAAACTTCATCACGATGTAATTTGTTGCACGCATAAAACATCAGAATACATCCAATGACAACAGAACCTAACGTTACATTAGAATCAAACTTCATCACGATGTAAATTGTTGTCCTTCGGTCCCTCGCCGCATGCAAAGTTTGTTTTGTCCTGAGTCAGCACTACACGGCGAATGAGAACACCCAAATTTGAGTTTAGTTCATTCATAAATCGCAAAAAGTACAGGAACTCAGTTTTGAGTTAATTCACCTCTGTTTTTCCAGGTTTTCCAGGTTTTTCCAGTAAAATTTTTCCGAATATAAGAAAAGTAAAGATTGGATTCTGTGGATTTTCGTCAATCCTAATTTTCCTGAAGATTTTTGAAGTTTTCCACCGGAAAACATGAGGCAAATCTCGAGGCAAATTTACTCATCGCTGCGCGCTGCGTTCCTGCATTTTTTGCGATTTTGAGTACACTGTATTCAAATTTGGGTTGATCACATTGGCCGTGTACAGTTTTTTTTTTCGCGGTGTCCGTCGCGAGTTTTGGTGGCGATTCGGTGTCCGACGTTGCGGCAAATCCTTTGGTTTGTTTTTTCCGTCGATCTTGTTTTCCGTGCTGAGCACCAATGCTACCGACGTGCCAGGAAGGCAGCTCCCACACCTGGACCCTCGCCAGTTTCAAAGATTGCGAGTCCCGCGATCGCCCTTGGAAAAGGAAGGCTGTTTTTCAGGTAAGTAAATGTAAAAAATGTAAATTAATGTACTGTAATTATGTTTTTTTTTAGGAAAGTGCACCAGTGCGAAGCCGGATCCCGGTAGGGAGTCCGAAGCTGGATCCCGGCGGGGAATTTGAAGCCGGATCTCTTTGCAGGTTAGTGAATGTGTTTATTGTTTTTTTTTTATTTGATTGACGAATAAATAAATAAATAGGGGGAGGAGGGGCATAGTGAACAGGTGGGGCATAGTGAGCATCCCGCAGTTTGGCTTTGGATCTCCAGCTGCATGAAACAAATCAACTGGTAGTAGATTCAATATCATTATGATATTGATCCTACCACCAACTATTTTTTTTTTTCCGAACAGCCGGAAGTTCAAGCTGGATGCTCACTATGCCCCTCTTACCCCTACTAAAAGCTAAAATAAAGTGGAAGATGACGGGTTCCGTAGGCGGATCCCGATGACGGGTTCCGTAGGCGGATCCCGATGGCGGGTTCCGTAGACGGATCCCGATGACGGGTTCCATCGACAGATCTCGATGGGGAAACCGAATACGGATCCCGATGGGGAAACCGAATACGCATCCCGATGGGGATTCCTTAGACGGATCCCGATGGGGATTTCGTAGATGGATTCCGATGGGGAAACCGAATACGAATCCCGATGGGGAAACCGAATACGGATCCCGATGGAGAAACCGAGTACGGGTCCCAATGGGGAAACCGAATACGGATCCCGATGGGGAAACCGAATACGGGTCCCAATGGGGAAACCGAATACGCATCCCAATGGGGAAACCGAATACGGGTCCCGATGGGGAAACCGAATACGGATCCCGATGGGGAAACCGAGTACGGGTCCCAATGGGGAAACCAAATACGGATCCCGATGGGGAAACCGAATACGGGTCCCGATGGGGAAACCGAGTACGGGTCCCAATGGGGAAACCGAATACGGATCCCGATGGGGAAACCGAATACGGATCCCGATGGGGAAACCGAATACGCATCCCAATAGGGATTCCGTAGACGGATCCCGATGGGGAAACCGAATACGAATCCCGATGGGGAAACCGAATACGGATCCCGATGGGGAAACCGAATACGCATCCCGATGGGGAAACCGAATACGGATC